CCTACGTTCTCCGCAACAACTCCGCTCACTCTCGCAGCAGCATTTTTTTCTTTTCTTTTTCTTTTTTTCGATTCTGCTACTGTGCCGTACTACTCTCATGAGATTGCCAGAACGTCGTGACTCTGGTGCAAGACACGTTTCATCAAAGACAATGAATATGCCCAGTGCCCGAATCTCCGTTCAAAGCAAACAAGAATTGACGAGGAAAAAGTTTAAGAGAAACTGCCTTGAAAGTATCAGTCTGATCGCCGTTGGTCGCCGACATCACTTGCGGACCAACGCTTCACCAATCATTGCTACCTCGCTGCTACCTCGCCGCTTCTATTGGGCACGATGGGGCGAGATAGCTAGATGTTTGCGTTGGAGGTTTGGAAAAGGGGACACTGCGCAAGTCCTCGCTCTCAGCACGCCCTGGCATGACGCGAAAAGGGCGACGACTAGTTGGTGCGCTGGTTGGCATGAGTGGCTTGCAGCGGCTACTTGTCAGTCAAAAATGCTAGTCGTGAGTGGAGGTCAAGAGATTCGCGTCTGTGTAAATGAGGACATGCTTCTTGGATAAAGTTGGGTGAGAGGCGTATGCTGATTGATGATGATTGTGAGTATGGGAGGCGAGGATATTTGTATGTTGACTTCGATGCAGAGAGGCCTGCAGTCCCATGTGAAACACGTGTCGGAATGGAAGGAGCGCGGCTTGCCGCGGCTTCGGCCCAGCAAATCGATTAAGTCCGTCGGAAGAGAAATTGTCACGTCACTGCGCAAAAGCTCATCCGACGCAGCTGTCAGCACAGCATCCCATCATGCAAGGTAAGCAGCGCCGCGTTATGCTGACACTCACAACTACAGTACTCACCGCCACTCTATACTGCTGGTTGACATCCGCCCCGCCGCGGCGTGAAGCTTTTAGGTGCGTTCCTGCTGCCTGTTCACGCTAAGCAGAGCTGCTCAGCAGCCGTGCTGCGCGCATCCGTGGACAGTCGAGCTAGCGCGCCAAGCGCGCGGGCCTTACACAGCAGTCACGAGTCCCTCCTTTTAATTGCACAGCACATGCCCATCCTTACCAGACTCGGTCGAGCGCACCGCAAGTAGTATACCGTACATGTTAGGGACAAGTGCTGCGTAAGTGGCGGTGCAATTTCAGCAGGGTTGCGACATGCTTTCCAAGAATGGGTCCGCGATCGTGAGATCTCTCTGCTCTTTCTCGAGTGACTGACTTGACTGCCTGCGCGCGCTGCTGATGCTCATGCTGTTAGCAGCAGCGCGAATAATCAATGAATGTCGCCCGCCAACATCTGCTGACATCCTTCATCCGAGCTTGACCGTGCCGCGCGAGATGGCTCGAGCGGCGAGCAGGCGGGCAGGGGCATGCAGAGGGTGTTAGAAATGTGAGACCCTATGGCCACTGAAGCTGCGACCAAATGCCTGCTGTGGGTTGTGTGAGCGAGAGCTGACCTTTGTTAGGAAATCTCGGTCCTCGATTGCTGCGCCTTGCTCAGACCCCCATCGGCTTCGAACATGGTGTACAGTCGTGAATATCGGGCGGATCGGACCATGCACCGCCTAAATAACGGCTCGGACTTTAGGCCACTGGTACCGGGTACAGTAATAATCACCCACCAAAACTTGAACGCGCGTATCGCTCGAGCGTGCCGTGCTTGCTGATGCATGTCGGCCGGCGACCTGGCTGGCCGAGTCTCATTCTCCTGCCTAACGGTTTCGGCTTGGGAATACTGACTGCTTGCTGCATGCTGGCCCGCTTGCTGCTCATCAAGCCCGCTGAAGCGCCGAAGCGAACCGACCCAACCCATCTCGCACTTCAGACTCGTGGTGACTCCTCGATCTCACAGACTGTTGTGCATGCTGGCTATTCGGACCGTTCGATGGCGATGTTGTGGCTGATGTGGAGCAGACTGGCACATGTAGGTACAGCGTCAGAACAGCAGCTAGTTGCGAGTCATTCATGTCGGGGTGAGCTAGTCATCGTGCTCGAGCGGACCACGCAAGGCGTGGACTAAGACAGCTAAGCTTGCAGCAATCACGCATCGCATGGGCGAGTCATATGATGCGGCCGGCGTATGTAGTACGGTATACATAGCCAAGCATCCGCGTGTGACTGCTGCTGCTGCTGCTGCTACTGCTGCTGCCTTTGCGCGTCTCAGCTCGCTCGCGTGTGTATAGTGACAGCGATGCCTGCGCACCAGCATCAGGCACGGGGCAAGAGCTATCTCTGCATGACTACTCGCGATTGCACATTCTCCGCGGCAAGCCATGCGTGTCACCATCGGCTTACCCGCTCCGCGCCTCTTCCGCGCCTCAGAAAGGGAGGTGCGGTGCGGTGCATGCTCTTCACCCGATGGAAGATGCCCAAGGCCGAACTCAGCGGTTAGGACCGAAAAATGCGATTCAGCCTCAATGACACACTTTGCTTGTCACCAGGCATCAGCAGCATGACACCTCTTCGGGTGAGCATGTGCTGCTGCTACATGCCGCGAATGATGCTTTTGCTGCAAATTAAGCGAGGCACTGCCTTGCCATTCAGACAGACATTTGGTTCTTTCGTCCGCAT